CTGGAGGGTGCACCTCGGATAACCACAGCGCGGACAACGTCGGTCTATTCCGTCTATGAATTTTGACCAAATAAACGGAGATGGATATGTGTTTGTAACATTCGCAGGCTGATTGCCTGTGGTCTGTTTAGGTGTGGGTGTGGAAGCGGAAACTTCTGACGCCCCAGCAGATAGTGCTTACAGACCTCGTTAAAAGTGAGAAGAAAGTCCCTTTGCAACTGCCCTCCCTCGGACTCCGAGTGCCCATTTCCGGCGCGGTGATTGAGACCTCGCGCCTGAGATTGTGCAAGTTCGTTGGCGTTTGAGATGGTTTCGTGAGCATCACTGTCCACGTGACCAGGGAACCAAATTATATGCTTTTTGCCTGTCCAAGATGGAGCACACCGAGCCTTTCATAAATGCTCTAGTGGCGGCTCGCGAGTCCGTGTAAATAGTAGAACAGTTCGTAGTTGCCATGGCGATGGCCACTGCCACCTGTTCGGCTTCGCGGCATCCAAACTTTTGAACGTAAATGATGTCAGCAGCTCCCCCCGTAGCGACGTAGCTGCTGAAATAAAGTGATCGGAAGCATATTGTGCTGCGTCAACGAAAGCAACGTTGTCCTCAATCGTAGCCGCTGTTCGTAGAAGGGCTCTGGCCTTTGCTTTGCCTTTGCCGTAGTTGTATTGGGTGTGCATGTTTCTAGTTATCTAAGATACAGTATACATTTCCCTGACTTTGATAGACTGCGTGACCTCCCTCTGTCTGGCGATGGGAGACCGTATACCAGTATGCGCTAGTAACTGTCTGCCAGCCTCCGTGGAAGTCAGTCTTGCAACTTGGGCGACCTGTTGTACCTCTACTATTTCTACAAAGGTGCTGTGGACACCCAGCGCCAATAGATTTTCTGTACTGGGGCTCTGTGGGAGACCCAGTACCTTTTTTTATGATCTTGCGAATTATTGATTCTAATCTGGCTTCATCCCTCCTGCTCCTTTTGTGGGCCAAGACGATGTAGTTGATGTGGCTCATTAGGAAGGCGTGAAAGAGACTACGAAGGCTCTTCTCGAATAACCCCCTTCGTTTGTTGGCCACCCTCGTGATTAATTTAGTCATGGAATCGTCTTTGGCTGCGATGCGTTCTAATGTGTAGGCGTTACTGCCATCCTCCTCCAGTATCATACCGAGGATTCTAACTTCATTTACAATCGGAATAATAGAGCCATTCGCTGTGGTGATCGAGATACTGGGCAACCTTTCTTTCCTTGCACCGATTGTTGGTCGGTAAAGGAGCAGTTCCGATTTATTAGCCGACGAGCAGAGTCCTGCCTTGTCAAGAAAATCTTGAGCAACCCTGATCGCTGTTTGTAATTGCTCTTAAATTTGCCCATCACTACCTCCCCTGCACCAGACGGTGATGCCGTCGGTGTAGAAGGCGTGACCGAGACTTTCAATCTCGGCCAGACTGTGCTACAGTGCTCTCAATGATAAGTTAAATAAAAATGGAGATAGCACAGCCCCTTGTGGAGTGCCTATGGGTCCAAGATCAAACGTTTTCGAGCCGAGAGATCCTAGGCGAATGGTAGCTTTTCTATTAAGAAATGAGCTGATGTAGTTGTAAGAAAGTTCGCTTAGACCCGTTTTTTTTTAATGGAATAAAGTATGTGAGAGTGTTTCACCTTGTTGAAGGCCTTTTCCAGGTCAAGTGCCAGAACAGCTCTGGTGTCTCTGGAGACCCTGCCAATGATCTTGTGTTTTAAAAGCAACATTACATCCTGCGTGGACATGAATGGCCTGAATCCTATTAGATTAAATGGAAGGAGATTCTTTTTCTTGGCAAACTTAGTGGCCCGCTTGAGGATAACGTGCTCGGCGACCTTCCTTACACGTGAAGTTAGAGATATCGGCCGGAGCGAGCCAAGCTCCAAGGGTTTCCCTGGCTTCCGGATGAGCATGACGGTCGCGTCGCTCCACTCTATTGGAACCTCTCCGGTCTCCCATACCTCGTTGATTTTATTCGTTAGAAGCTCGATATCCTCGTTTGCTACCGATCCCATCGGTGATATGCGACCACGGTTTTATCACTGGAGGAGCGACTTGTAAACCATCCGAGACAACAGCTCTTGCACGCTCTATTTTCTCAATGAGAATCTTTTTTACAAACTCACATATCATTTATAATCTAAATCATTGCGTTTTTACTAGCTAAATCATTTGAACTGTCCTTGTTCTAATTCAAGAGCTGTTAGCACTAACCTAGATGGTACTTTCTACCAATAATTAATGAACTATTTCTGATGCTGCCCGTGGCTTATACTGCCAAATATTTCATTTCACATCATCTGTGTGACACATGATGTGATGTACTGGTAGACGCACAATGAAAGCCTCTGTGGTGTGCAGGGCACCTTGGTAAACATTTTTCGAGGAAGGGGATGGATAAAAGAAAAGCATCTTTTTGGTCTGTTGTGCGGGCCGGTCAGGCATACTGTCATTTTCAATTCTGTATGCCATGACAAAAAAAAGAATCGGAGGCGAGGGAGAGGCCCGGGCCTTGTGTGGCACCCCCTGGCCACTCTACTGGTGGCAATAATTCACTCGATCTGCATGCACCTTCAAATCTCTTACAACCGCCACATATTATGTGCATGAATTGCTTGCTGCAGTGATGACAATAAAAATTTCCATACCAGTTGAGCGCACAAAAACATTTTTAGAAGGCTGTAAATTCACACTTTACAATGGCAAGAAACAAATAAGTAAGCCCGTGGTTATGTATCTTTTTTCCCAAAGCCCATGGTTTGTTAAAGCACTGCAGCTATAATAATGCAGTCAAAAGATTATTTTTATATCTGTGTGCTAATACAGGAAAATTTAATCTGCAATAGAAATTTTGTTACTTGCAAAAGGCAGTTTATTGTACAAAAGCATTAACAGTGCAATATCCACAATGCCTCTAGTGAAAAAGGTAAACGGTACGATCAAGGACGTATCTAGATGTGCAAATTACTTAGCACCACACTCTTTACCAAGAGACCATCAGCATCCCATCTAAAATAAATACTGGCAGAACTAAAATTTAGCCCCGCTCAATTAGCTAAACACTGCCCTGGAATTCAGTAAACACCACTTTTGGGATTGGACAAAATCTTTCAGAAGACCAACAACTTTCCAATAGTATTATCAATGCAGGCATGTAATATCAGGCGACACTGGTGACTACTGGTGACAAGTGCTAACCTTCAAAAGTAAAAAAAAAAAGCGAACGAGCGCACACGCATGCAGAAAAGAGATTTGACGGCTGCAGCGATGGGGTTAAGTTGTGGCGCCATGGCATGCTGTGGCCTTTTAAAGAGCTAGAAAAATATACAAGCAAATGCAAATATGGTGACACGGAGAGCAGCGGCATGAGCAGGTCGTAAGTATGTGGAGGAGGCCGTGGGGCAGAGTCTTGACAACGGGCTACTCCTTCACCTCCCTATGGCGAAGAAGGGTAGCGAGTGGTCGTGCGAAAATTTGAAACCGGCTGAAACAGGTGTTCTAGCTTCTGCAACTTCCTTATTATAGTACGTATTTGCTAAATTCTTCTTTAGCAAAAATTTGCTAAAATTTTTGGACCTTCGGGTTGTTTACTGGCCCTTTAAGATCAATTTAAAAATTAGTTCTGCTGTAAAATCAGTTTAACTTCTTTTTTTAACAAGGGTCACTGTCTTTCTACAACTGACCAGAGGTGGAGTGAGATACAGTGAAGAGGTGGAGTGAGATACAGTGAAGTGAAACAATAACTGAAACAATCTATTTTTTTAAATTTTTAGCAAGAAATTTTGTGTTGCAATGTATTTTCATCTCTTAAGCATGAAAATAGGTATAAATACAAGTTGACATTGATATACATATCTGTGTAACGGAAACTACTTTACGTAACGGTGTCAGATGCTTGGATATGAAGAAAATTTAATATCTGTATAAATATTTGTTAACTCAAACAATAGTCATCCACAAATGAAACGTTGCTAAATTTTTTTCTGAGAATAAACTGATTTGATTGGTTTGCATGCGTACAGTTTGTCTGGGGGCTAGCCGCCTATTACAGGGAAGGGAAGCATGGCTCATACCACTGGCACTAGAGGTATTTGTCGTTATGAGCACTTTGATTTGATTGATTGATATGTGGGGTTTAACGTCCCAAAACCACTATATGATTATGAGAGACGCCGTAGTGGAGGGTTCCGAAAATTTAGACTACCTGGGGTTCTTTAACGTGCACCCAAATCTGAGCACACGGGCCTACAACATTTCCGCCTCCATCGGAAATGCAGCCGCCGCAGCTGGGATTCGAACCCGCGCCCTGCGGATCAGCAGCCGAGTACCTTAGCCACTAGACCACCGCGGCGGGGCTATGAGTACTTTGGGTAGCTCTTTTGGAAGCTCAGAGTGCTGGAAGCTAGTACATCCCCAAACAGAATGGCTACTAAATGCAGTGGAACTCAAGGCACTGCTGGACAATGATAAATTGTGAAATGCAATACATTTTTGAATATATTTGTACTACTTGTAAGAGATAAGACACTAACCCTCAATGCAGACAAGTCTCGTGAGCCTCGGAAAGGGTGGTCACCATATTATAAACAATAATGCCTTATACAGTGTAAGGCATGGAAAATCTCTACTACCTAAGATGTCCTAATAATAATTTTTGGGGTTTCACATTTCAAAACGATGACATGCTTATGAAAAATGCTGTAGTTAAAGGCTCTGGGTTGTTTGACCATCTTGGGTTTTTTAATGTGCACCTTAAGTACATGGGCCTCTTGCATTCACCTCCATCAAATGGGGCCGTCGCAGCTGGGATTCGATCTCATAGCCTTTGGGTCCACATCAAGCACCGTAACCACTAGACCACCATGGCGGGTAATACCCGAGACTAGAAAAGTATGCTATTGTATAACTGATTTCTGGAAAAGACAACAGTGTATTCCCAGAACATTTTTGATTCTATTGCCTTATTACCACTAATGCAGGCTCCCATGCCCGGTGCCATGCCAGGCTCTGCGCCTGGGGCCATGCCGTACGATCCCCCACCGCCCTACTCACCCACTGCTCCAAACCCATGCCACACTGCACAGCCCATAGACCACCCATCTCGGCTGTATCCGGCTCCTGGCCAGCCGTACCCCTCACCAGCTCCAGGACAGTACCCAATGGCCTCTTACCCACAGCAGCCAGGCCTACCACAGCAGGCTGTGTACCATGTTCCGGATGCCTTTGATGCTGGGGCCCGCTTTACACATAGCAAGCCTAGCATTCCTGTATGCATACTTTCTTATTGGCCTGCTCTTTGTTTGAAACTGTAGTATATCAGTATGTATTAAAGAAGAGTGGAAACCTTACTAATTGTCCTAACGTTTGCAAACTGTCCTACCTAACTTTCGTCCGCCCACAACTTATGCCTCATCTGTTTGGTCCCCCGTCTACTCAGTATCGAATTAACATGCTTGAAGCAATTCAGAACAGAGCCACTTGTTACATTTCTAAGATCTTCTGGAATCATTTCAGTGTGGCTCAGCTTAAACTCTATTATTCCCTACAGCCTTTGTGTGTTCGCCGCCAGGTGTGCTTGTTATGTCTGTCTCATTAGTACTTTAGTATGCCTACAGTAAAAAAACATCATTGTTGTAACTTGAAAACTCTGTCTACACATCCTCCAGATTATATAATCATCTCGATTTTACCCTCATCTTTTGGAACAGAAACAGGTTTAACATATCAGCACTACTGCAAGCGATGGGCATGTGGAATGTACCTTCCCAGTCATATCGCCTGTGATTGTAGCCCTAGCACATGTCATCAGAAACTTTAGTTACATTTTCACGATGTAGTATTGTAAGATTTTCTATTATTTTCTTGTCTAACTTTGAAGCTTTGATTATACAAAGTGCTGTGTGCTCTTTTGATAAACATGCTATAATCTGCTTTTCAATACTGTTGAATTACGAGGACCTAATTCAATGGTAATATTATTGTAAAGTATTTTGTTGTTGTTAGTATCTTACAGTGTATCATCATTCATTTGGAGTTTATATCTGATTCTACTATAACCCCCCTTGCTGAATTCCTTCAGGGCTGTAAGGTATTTTTCAATAAATTAAAATTGCTTGAGACTGTGAGGTGAAAGTTGCTATTGCTTTACTTAAAGACTTGAAAGAGGGCGTTGTCCTTCATTTATTCAGCATCACTTAGATTGCACTGTTCTCGGTTCAAGCATTACGGTAAACTTTCATGGGGGGCCCCAACTTTCTGTGGAAGCTATATACTAGTCATTTTGAATGTAATAACATGAAAAAGTTGGATGAACAGGAACTGGAGTGTGTGGTTATGTGTAGATAATGCTACATATAATGATAAACATGCCAGTATTTGCTCTTCTACTTATGGAGTATGTACCACCGATTCTTAAACATAACTTCAGTATAAAAAAGTGCAGAGATGCATCTTAAGTACACGGGTGGCAAACACCAAGGTAGGTGTTACGTAAACTTTTCCACTTTACGTGGAAGGTAGGTGCTATGTAAACTTTTCCACTTTCCACTGAACGTTTTCCACTTACTAATGGCCCACTGGATATAAAGTAGAGAACACACGAGCAGTGAACATGATTTAAAATAGTGCACAAAACACCAATTGCACATGGCAAGCCATACAAGGCGATGGATATTATTAAAATGGCTTCTTAATTCCTCACAAAACGCAAAGGACATTTGGCAAGCTTGGCAAGATGCTGCATGTCGTAGAAAAAACATGCATGCTACCTAAATGGAAGACTTTAATATAGCACAGGCATTAAATTCAAAAGGAACTTTCTGGAGAGATATTTTTAATGTAGTTGCACAGTGTGTGATCAGCTGTGGTTCGAAATTCAGTCTCACTTCTGTATCATGCATTAAACAGCTTCGCTGGTCATCCACCTACACCGAGGGCAATGGCTTCTCAATGTTTTTCCAGTGTCTGAGATTTCTGTCTGAGGCAAGAGATGCAGTCTCAGTTGCCCTGTATGAAGACTGCAGTGACTTTGAAATTACCTGCCTTCACTGATGTCAAACCTTTCAGAAAGGAAGCTTCTCCATAAGGTGGAGTCGATGAGTGGCTTATTCATCTCTTACCAAGATCTCATTGTGCACTACTTCTGAGTATTCTATCTGCTTCCTCCTACATTCTCTGCACAGTAAGAGTTGTATGGTGTCAGTCTTGGGGTCCCTATAAAACTGCTTCACAGTTCTATAAAACTGATTGCTACTATGCATTAATAGTGCTGTCGAGAGATACACCAACAAATGGAGACACCACACTAGAGACTTGCGAAAGGCTGCTAGTACTGAACACACTATCTTGCATCGACATTTACCATTTCATCTTAGTTGGGGTTTCATTCAGACTGAAACAGTTTAAAAAATTTTGGAATTGCTAGCTTGATTCTCATGTGAAATATTGGTGACAATAATGAATCTGTCATTTCCACAAACACGTTCTGCATCTGGCATCATTTTTGATAAATAAAAGCTCGATAATTCAATGTTAGGCAAAAGTAAACTGAGTGGCTAGTGCTTTATTATTAGTTATTGTGAAGATTGATGTCTTGGAAATGCATATTAACTATGTCTTGACAAATAATTAGCCTTCCTCCCACAATTTTAACCCATGCTTCAATGTTTGAACAAAATTTTATTGGTAAAAAGTTATTCATATTGCTAAGTGAACCATTAGATTTGCAAACATAAGTGGATTTGCCTCATCATATAGTTTAGCTGAATTGGTGGAAGTCCAGTGGCAGCAACCTTTTTACATGTTGCAGCGTGTTGTAGTGAACTCATTTGCTGCCATGCATTAAGAAACTGACTTCATTGACATCCTGCTGTGATGGTTGAGTGACCCACGCATCACGAGTTCGAAGCCTGGCCACGGTAGCCACATTTTGATAGAGATAAATTGCTTAAGGCCTGTGTAAATAGATTTAAGCAGATGTTAAAGGATACCAGATAGTCAAAATTTTTGTAGCCCTCCTTACAGCATTCCTTATACTCACTTCATGGTTTTGGGATGTAAAAACCCAACAGTTATTGTTACTATATGATTCCATTGGTGGCATTTCATCACGGCAGTAAACACTCTTGAAATATTTTTAGGGTGTAGCGATGCACTGCACGGATTGATCACTGTGTAGGTCATATTTGCCACTTAAGGGAGTAGCAAGTAAAAATTTCGAAAATGCATAATTGGAATTGCGTTCAGTGTGAGTAACACTTGTCAAGTCACTATCAAATGGGCATTTCGGCTATCTTTATAACTATGTATTAAATTAATGTAGCTCTGACTGCCCAGCAGATTCTCTCGTAGCCTGATCGTCTGTCCCACCAGCTTTATTGATCTGTGGAAATTAAGCAACTGCATATAATCTGGAGTTACCTCTGCTTTTTATTGAAATGTTCCAGTAATTAAGACTAGGATTACTTATATTTTTCAAAGGCTCAGTTTTATAGTTCCAAAAATAATTTAGTTTCAAAATAATGATTTTATACAAGAGCACACAGTCAAGTTTAGCACTAGATTTTGTGGTATCTTGCTTGATATTTTTCTAGTGTAAGGTCCTGTAATGCTACAGTGCGTTACTACACCATCAGTGCTACATAGGTGCTTATATTCAATGCAGTACAAAATTGCAATTTTTTTTGCAGCCCCCTCCCCCTGGAGTTCCTCCTAATGCTGCTCAGCTGGCTGCCATGCAAGGCAACCCCGTAGTCGTAGGTCAGAAGAAGAACAACTTCTGGACCACTGGTGCCGGAGGTGGCTACACTTTCTGGTAGACATAAAAGAGCCTTTACCAAAGCTCCTGCTGCTCTGTCGACAGCTACAAGGCCTTTTGTTCTCGCTCTCACACGCACAAAAAAAAGGAGCGTTTTGTTTTGTGAGACTGTCGTGTCATTGTTGACGATGCTTGACGGATGCTTCACTTAATATTCTTTACACCAGGGCCTATAAAAATGCTCTCCAGATTGCTCTGTTGGATTCTGTGGGCTGAGTGCCAATAATGTAGAAGTAGAAAGCTATGCACCCAAGTGAATTTTCATGGGACAGCATGTTTGCTTTGAATGAACGTCAGCGTAGAGGATTGTTGCAGCGTGGAGTCCAGATTATGTGATATTGGACTGGATGATGGGCATTTTAAAGCAGAGGGATGTACAGTCCAGTTCATGCTCTGTTTTAGTTGAGGCGCCTGCCTAGGTTAGCTCAGCAGACAGTGGCATTGTTTAACAGGCTCAACTGCTCTTTTTGTCCTGGGACTCTTTGATGACCTCAGGGAATATTCAAGAGAGCGTCACACTACTGCAACTTTGCAAGTTGTCTTGTGTGGTGTCTTTCAATTTTGCAACCTCTCAGTATCACGAACATTTTTTCACAGTTTACTTATGACTTAATGCTCTCGATTTAGAGCATCAAGTGGCATCTCCTTGAAGACGAAAAAAAAGCCTGCAGCATAAGTCATAAAGTTGAGACATCTCATACTTCTGTCCCATCAGTACGCAAAAACTCTTTTAAGGAAGCAGTCTTTCGCAAAGTTCACGTAAGAGCATGTTCTACATGTTGCAGCGTGTTGTAGTGAACTCATTTGCTGCCATGCAGTAAAAGACTGACTTCATTGACATCCTGCTCAGATAGTCGAGTGACCCCAGACATCACGAGTTCAAGGCCTGGCCACGGCAGCCACATAGAGTTGCACCACTGATAGAACTCGCCGCTCGCGCTCCCATTCAACATATGCACAGCTGAAAAGTGTGACGCTAGCTTTGAAAACAACACCAGTCAAAAGGAAATAGCCCACATGTCTTTGTTAAACAGTCCAAGCAATGTTGTTTGTATCGAACTGTTAATGCAGATGCTCTCAATATTTGCAGGTTAATAAAGAACTATATTGCAGCAAACTCAGTCCTCAAGCTTTGTTGTGAGCAACTTGGTAATTATTTGTTGGTTAATGAAGTGTCCTTCTTTTGAGTAAATGTAGGATGGTATTTATCTGTTTTATGTACTGCATGGCACACCTGCATGTCACTTCATCAGCTTTCAATACTAAACAACACATTGTTGAGCCACCATTTTCACATTTTTTGCTTGTAGGCTCTGTATAGTCACACTATAGTGTTTATAGTGAAATGGAAATAAACTTTGTGAAGAATCAGCGTGTCTAATAAAGTGTAGTGACTTATTGAAAAGTGGTTCAAAGTAAAAACAAAACGGCCTATACTACATGGACATTAGTACTTTAAGGACAACTCTGACAATTTCTCGATGTCCACTGATCTCAATAATGTTTATAGCTTGTCTTCACTTTAGCATGCCGGTGGTCTGTGCCAAACAGTCCAACTGCATGTTAGTTTTCCTAAAAATAAATTTTAATGATTGGGGCAGTGAGTTTCTAAGTCACGCATTTGAATGTAAGCCACCTAGTATTTGTGACGTCATGGGCTTCAATGCTACATCTCTAATCAGGCGGCCATAAGCAAATGGCAGTCATTCAACGCTCCAATGGTCACTCAAGTTCTGTAAGCTGGCATAGCTTGATGAATTGCCAGATGTCATTGTCCTTTTTTTCTGGTGCTAGCATTATGTGTACTTTGTTGATATTACAGCAGCACAGCTTCTGACATTATTCTAGACGTTGCACAAAGCAGCTATTCATTTTGGTTTTACTTGAAGACAATGCTTTTTGTTTATTTAAAGATACGAGTTTCTAAGAAAGTTGAACCATCGCACTTGCTTAAGGATTATCAGCACCATTTCAAAATGTTGGCATCATGATTAAATAACACGGGAGCTCCCTGTTAAACCTTTTAAGAAATGTCTGAAGGCCATGTCAAAATTTATTACACATTTGTGTTGTTAGTTCTGCTATCTCATAGGAGTTCTTGCAGCTACTATAATTCAAATTGTTTTATGTTTTATCAGAAACTCCAAGGCACATTCGCCTTGGAGTTTCTCGTAGAGAATGTAGAGGTCGCCTATTGTGATTTCTCTTGGCTCGCATGCGACCTAGTGCTAGAAGATGGATTGGGATTGCTTAGTTACTTAGCTTTAAGCACCAACACCTAACACTGGTGTACACTGTAGCTTCTACATAGGGCAATGGCAGGAAATTCTGGCTTTTTTCTAGAAAATGTTTGTATGGGCTGTGGTGTTGCTGTACAGAATTTAAAAAGCACTAAATATAAAAGCTGCATTAAAGATTATTGTTCTAATCACATGTCTGAAAAACTGCTAAGCTATTCGGTTCAATACAGAGAAGAGGCTTTATAAATTTAAACTGTGCAGACACATGAAAATGTTGGAAATGTCGCGTGGAAATTCCCACAGTGTGTCCTTGCAATACCATGGCTTTTGAATCTGCTCAGGAATAGTTAAATACTTTGTCAGTAATGCTTGCATTGTGCTGACAAATAAGTATGCAAGACTGGTCAAGTCTTGAGAAAGTTTTTTTTAATGTGAAATAGATGACTCGAGACAATTTTTTACTAGTGCTGCACTTTAAATTGTTTTTTCTCCATTTTGTACGCCGATTATCAATCACTGGGCTTATTTTCACAAAGGAACTGTACGGAGAGGTTGGAAAAGATATTCCAATTTTGTAGACTTATTAAATGTTTTTCTTTCCTGGCTCTTTTGTAGCTGCACCTTGAACCAAAATAGTGGTGAATTAATTCACAGAAATTACGTATGCCATATTTTTTTACTTGAAAGTCTCACTGGAAGTGCAACAGACCCATGTGGAATTTTATTGGTGGAATGCCCTCAAACGCTACTAAAATGAAATTTATGATGGAGCAATGTAGCCATGACTGAGCTAATGCATTCTCTTTTTCTTCCTGTTAGCACAAAGTGTCTTGCTTCATCAGCACATAAAGCATGCACATGCTTAAACTCATCATGTGACTGCAGTCGCATGATGAATCACACGGAAAGCATGTATTTCACTGCACCTAGAGTTACTCTATATGCTACCATTAGGCAGCATAGTTGTGCCACTGATAAAACTCGCCGCTTGCGCTCCCAATCGCCAATCGCGCTCACGTGCGCAAACAACGTCCATTTTAGGAAAAGCCAACTTTATGGCTGCCGGGTGCTTGCGACCGCCGCACCACTGGCGCCACTGCCACCGCTGCCCAAGCAGTCCGGCGAGGCGATCCCGCTGATTGCGGAAGTACTTTTCCATTGGTGTTGTGATTGTGACCTGTGTTGTCCATTTTTAGGGAACGTTAGTGTTAGTGTTGTCTGTGTGGCGCAGCTCCGCGACTCAGTGCTGCGTAGTTGCCACGATGACTTGATCCCACAGCTACAAATAGATATGCCAGAAATTCTCGTTTGCTTACTTTATTTGTAGAACACAGAGGGATAGGTCTAGCGATTGTTTTATCAAGCCACCTGCTTAATCGTTTAAAGCGGCGAAAAACTTCGCGAAACGAGTGATTTGCGGAACCTAAGTTCTCGCGAATCGTGTACATGATTCTCGACAAATTAAGTCAAGGCATTCTTCTTTGCTATTTAAAACAAAAATATCTTCCTGTTGTGACCATTATTTATTCAAGTTTTCCTTTAATAGCAAAAGTAAATGTGCCAGCGATGCGTTATGAGCGAGCGAGTAAGTTCGCGGAGTCTGGGCTGCAACAGCTCCTACATTCAGATGAGGTGGCTTCCCTGCATGACTTGGATGTCTCGTAGGGCGAGATGGTGGACCTATGTGCAACTCTGCTATCTAAAGTTAGCATATACAGTAACTCTAACTGTACTTAGTTGGCATCATCTTATTCACAGAGCTGTTGTGGCTCCTGTTGTAGATCCTGCTGTGCATCCTTTCTAAACCCATGCTAATACCGAAATGCACATTTCATAGAGGGATCTAACCTCCTTCCCGTATTATCACTTCCACGTGACTTCTTGTTGGCACTTTGATCTAATCACTTTTATAAATGCATGCAAAATAGCTGCAAGGCTTCTAAACAACACGCATGTTTCCTATGTCACCAAGAGTAAATAAGTGTAAAACGTAAGTTGTTTTTTCGGCTCTCTTCACTGGACACTGTTGTAATCGCTCAGTCTTTCACGACCCACGACCATCTGTGAGTTACACAAAACGCAAGATGCTGTGAGGCAAAAATCTTCCTCTCTCACAAGTCCTGGCGAACACCCTGACTTTGTCTTTGAAACTGCCTCTAGTGCACTGTGTTAGTGGTCGCTTCTCCAATAACTTTGAATTACCGCAGTTTCCCAGCAAGAGGTTCACATGGCACAATGTTTTTGTTGGTTCACTGGTAAAGATTGATACAGAAGAAGAGAATAAGTAATGGAAAAGAATAGCAAATCAAATTCAGTAATGAAATTGGCAAACTTACAAAATTCAAAGGCTTATGCAGGGCAAGTTGCAAATAGGTTTCTTATTTGGTGGCCTGTTCAAGTAGGAGACCATGCTTTGCGAAGCAGTTTTAAGGCAACGGATGTCTTAATGAAGTTACAGCATCGAAATAGTGCAACAACTAGTCTGCAGATAGATAGATCAAGTCAAAGTGGTGTGAGTGCTAGGGAAAGGGTTCTGTCCTGCAGTCAACTTAGCTTGGATGTCAAAGTAATGACAATTTGTAAAATTTTTACCTTCTATGTCCTCTGGCATGTATAACCAAGAACAAAAAACACTGGAGAGCTTTTTTTCAATATCCCCATTTGCACCAGTAAGCAGTGCTGCCTTTGCCTTTGTTTTCAAAGGCTTGTTGTAACAATGTTCAGTACAAGCGTACTTTTATGCCTAAATGTTTGATGCTAAATGTTTGGCTGTAATTTTTAAAATTTTTTTTGTTCAGTGAAAATGCCTATTTGTGATGAGCTTCTTGTGCACACCAGCAGAGTTTTACCTACAGGAAGTGCAAACAAACTTTTCTTTCTTCTTTTGTGCCATACAAATCTACTGCAGCATCTCAAAAATGTAATGCAGTTTTGAACACATTGTCTATGGTGGTGTTCGAAGGAATTTACTTACTTTCTTGCGTAATTAGCACTCGTATATCCCACTAATGTAGGTTTACTTTATTATTACGTTCAATGGTGCCAGTTTGGCAGTTTTCTTTTGTGTGAGATTCTGCATTGAATATGCATTATTTGTGCTGTTATTGAGCAGAATGAGCTGAGAAGCAAAACTATCCCTATTGATGTTGAGGTCGCAAAGATTCTTTTTTCTTCTTTGAGAACAAGTCGCTGCTGGAAGATATGCAGTTGAAGCTGTATGTGCAGTCAAGTTGATTTTAGATGCCATGGACATAAGCCAATGACCTTTTATTTTGAAGGGCACTAGTATATTGAGCTCGTGGGATGTTGTTTGTTGTAGCTCTGCCCTGCATTATTATGTAGAAATGAAGCAGTTTTGATGTTTCAAACTTGAACCAGCCGAGTTGATTCTTTCATTTCCACTGCCATTGTTTAATTCAATGATAACACGATTCGGGCTTGAAGGCTCATTTTGAGGCATACAAGTACTTCAATTACAGAGTCTTCAGATAACTCCTGTTTGTGAGTATATTGCAATCCATACTTCTCTGTCCATGTTTTCGTTGTCCATGATGAGACAGTCTCTACGTAAAAATAACCTTGCCTCATCAAGCGCTATGCAGCCCGATGAGGCAAGGTGTTCGACGAAAACTACTGCAATGGTTCCCGGCCGCAACACCCTGCTTGAGGAGAGCGGTGTCATGGCGGATGACAACCAGTCCCGATACTTGACCGTCGTGGCGAGTGGCGGTCCTTTTCTTGGTTGCACGAGCGTGAGACTATAGTGAAGTGAGACCTATGCCCCAGCCGCCTTCTCACATCGAAAAAAGGACACGTTGGCGCCCTAGGTAAAATGTGGTGGAAATGCAGCGTCAAAAAACGTCGATCTGCAGGCAGGTGTGGGCTCAGTGGAGACATCTTCGTCTGGTTTCACGATATGTTTGTCATGTAGCAAAATGCTTGTCCTGTAGTTATTCTAAATAAACGTCCAGTTTTCTTCTACTGAAAGAAACTTAGTATCTTCAAGCTGCCTCGACCACGTCTTTGCGAATCTTATGTACCAGAACGACCAGACACAACAATTCAACAACCTCTAGAACCGCTGACATATATCTACAGAGTTTAATGCCGTTTTGTAATCTGTCATATAGAGGGTTCTTTTTTATTTGGCAGTTTTATCAGTTATTCGATCACTAGCATGACGATCGTCTATGGTAAAACACTATGCACAATTCAGAACATCTTTCTGAATATCTCATACAGCTTGCTGAAACGAGGTCGCTCTGTCTGTATAGTTTGTTGATAAATGGTGAAATATGCATTGATGAATTCATTTTATATGTGCGCACGATGAGAAGTTATCGGGAGAAGAGGAAGGGTGTGAAGATGGTTGTTACATCACTCGCATGACGATAAAAGTGATGATCTTTAGCTAACTATACTTTATAAGAAACCAACCAAAAGCACAAAAACACCGAAGGAACCAGACTGGACAAGTGCTGGACTAATAATTAAATACACATTAAAGAACCCCCCCCCCCCCACGCAAGAACCATCAATTATCATTAATGGGCTGTCTGAGCCTATAGAACGTTGCACAGATTAAGAATACAAAGGCAAGAATTAAGCATGTCAATGTATCGCAAACCGCGCATTTTCACAAAACCAAAATATCAACGCCACGTGAGCCTGTTGGCTAAAAAACTGGGGGTTCACATCACATATGTCATGTTGGCTTTTTTATTATTTTGATGGGCTTCACAACTTTCATAATAAATGTTTTTCTCAATTCCTTTTTTTATGACATCCTGATTTGAAATCAGGGGTGCGCAGCTACACCCTTTGCAGTGCAGACGTACGTGAGTTTCGAAAATTTCTTGTCATGCGGCCGTGTCTACAAAGGTCAGAAGAGCCGATCAGCTTCAATGACAGGCTGCGTGAACACTGCATCATACTCCCTAGGGGTGCTGGTGGAAACTCACCTCGGCAATGCAATGGCTCTGCGTCCCTGATTTCAAATCAATAAGTGTCATGGGTAAAGGAATAAAAATAAGCTTGAACTTAAAGCATTTAAAACCTTCAAAATAAAACAAAACATGGCAAAACGTCATGTGTAAATCATTCATCAGTTTTCCTTACAGATAAAGCATGCGCGTTGCTACATAGTGGTTGCATGGTAGCGTCGAGACTCTAGTGTTTCATGAAAATGTGCTGTTGTT